GAACAGAAGGACAAGTTTTTTTTTGTGGAAGGAATACCCTAGAGCAGGGGTGTCAAACTCATTTTAGCTCAGGGGCCACACTGAGGGAAATCTAGTCCCAAGTGGGCCGGACCGGTAAATAAAAAATAAAAAAAAACTTCAGATTGTTTTCTTTGTTTTAATACAATCAATATAAAACAAGGCTGGAGCCTGAGGACAGCATATCCAAAATAGTACAAGTACAACACCTGAAGTGTACTTGAAAATTTGAAAAAAAAAAAAAAAAAAAATCAATAAATTAAAAAAACATTCCTTAGTGATTCAAAGAGCTTACAGGTCACATGGCTAGATCAGATTCATGCAGCACTTAAAGTATATTTGACTCATTTTACTTTACATCTTTTAGCTTTCACCAGCACATCAATATCAGAAGTCACATCCTGAGTGGCGGCCAACTTCAGGATGTGATTCAAGTTCTTGTGTGAGCCTTGAGTGCAGCTTTGTTTTGTTTATTTTCACTCTACATTGTAAAGTATGAAAATAAAGTTTACACAACCATCTTGTGGGCTGGATTTAACCCGCTTGCGGGCCGGGTCCGGCCCGCGGGCCGCATGCTTGTCACCCCTGCCCTAGAGTGAAAGCTGAAAAATCCATTTATGCACAATTCACGCCAAAATAATGATCCAAATAAATGATTTTGATCTGTCCTTTTAGGAATGTAGCAAACCATTTTGCTCAGAAACCAACACACCAGAACTTCATCAGTCACCAACAAGCCTTCCTGATTTCTATCCTCAGCTCAGATCTGTCCCTTCTTCTGAGTCACAATCCTTCTACTCTAACACTCATAACCATTCTCTTTGGACTTACTGCTCAACTCACATCTGATGTGATGGACACTTGGCCCTGCTGTTCGCATGAGATCCTCCATGGAAAATAGAGGAGAATTAAGGTCCCATTTCAGCTGGCAAGGCCTTTTTGTCTGTCTTCACCAGGCTATTTGCACACCGTTCAATACTTGTCTGTGTGAAAATGCAATCTCTGAGAAGATCTAAGGCTGTGTGTGCATGTGTGTGTGTGTGTGTGCGTGTGTGTGTGTGTGTGTGTGTGTGTGTGTGTGTGTGTGTGTGTGTGTGTGTGTGTGTGTGTGTGTGTGTGTGTGTGTGTGTGTGTGTGTGTGTGTGTGTGTGCACGTGCGTGCGTGCGTGTGTGTGTGTGTGTGTGTGTGTGTGTGAAGCTGCAAAGGAGCTGGTAGATTCCTAGGATGCACGAGGTAAAAGAAAGCGGCAGACACCAAAAGTTGATTTTTTTGTGTGCATACGAACATATCACTACACTTGCTTCCAGCTGTGGACGCACATACATAATTTATAAACATATATGCAGATATGAAGACACTCACAGCAGCAAGGAACGCAGTTCAGCTACACTACAAACAGAGAGGTGCAAAATCTCCAACTCGAATCATTTGGGATTTGAGCAGCTCTCTTCAGACGAGAGAGCTAAACCCTGAGCTGAAATCTGTTGCTGCCCTCATTCTCATCCCCAGGTTGGTGAGATAATTGGTACAGTATTTCTTATGTGTGTTTGCAAAAAATAAAAAATAAAAAAATACATGCATCGGCTTTATGTCCTCTCCTCTGGAATCAGGATTATCCTTCTTGTGCGGAACTCAAGTTTCTTTTCTTACCTACACGAGTGGTTTTCTGTCATGGGTCAGATGGATTAAAGAGGTGGTTCGCTCAAAACTTGGCAGAGCGTTTGTGGTGACGGGAATTATCGGTGTTTCTAAATTTAGCTGTCGTAGAGGAAAACGCAGGAAGGTCCAGAAATGCTCTAAGAAAGTCCCGACTGAACAATAAAAGAAATCATATTTTGGAGAACACTTTGACCCAAAAATTATCAATGAAAAAGTTTTAGCACCGCGACAAATGTGATGACTTTTCACATGTCACAACATTTATGATTGATAAAGTTTTATAGAGGGATGTCCGATGTTGTAAACTGATACTGGCATTAAGTTGTGTTATCAGAAATTAACGGTACACGTTTACGTCCCGTGCACGGACATTCTGTGAAAGTATGCAGATGGAATCACACTGAATTGGTATTGATGTATAGCCCAGATATGTAGACCAACAGTAGCAGTAGCAACATATTTAGCTCTGCAGGCTGCACTAGCCACGCTCCATTGTAGCCTCAGAAGGTCTACCAATGGGCTGAGCAGCTTTGTGTCTGGCCAATCACAGCGCTCTACAGTGCCAGAGCTGCGATGGAAAATAACAACAAAGATGGCTTCGGCTGCGCTCGTTAAACAGCTTTGGGATTAACTCTGAACAATGTATAGAGGTACTTGAGTCATTTATTTAAAAAAAAATGATGTATTGCTTCTTGACGTGAATGGGGATTCTTTTATTGGCTGATTTTTGTAGCGATGAATACGTTGCGTAGTTTGCTCCTCTGATTGGTGGAGACAGTAATCCCCAAATTCCACTACCTCCGCTCCGCCCCCGCCTTCTGCAGCCGCTCGCTTCAGAACTCAATTTTTACTGGTACCCGCTCTACAACGGCTCCGCTCCGATGCGGAGACCTGAGGAGAGCAAACAAGCATGCGCGGGATTTTCGAGATCTTGCGATACAGTCCGAGCAATAAACGCGGAAGTTAGATCCAAACACCTGTTGTGTGGGAGAAGCATCGGCATGAACTGTTTAATCTGCCCATCATTTGTGTTGAGAGATCAGCAGTGTTTGGATCAACAAAGTGTGACTACTTTGATAGTAGAAACTGTATTTATGGCTTACTTTTGTGCATTTAAAGTTCAACCGCCACTGATAGTTGTTAAAAGTTGTTAAACCTGTGCATATGAAACAAAAAACGCCTTTTGTTTATCGATTTATTGTGAAATAACGGAAGTTGTGCTTGCTCCTTTTCCTGTTGGGCGGTTGTGATTCCTGTCCATTGACTGCGGAGGTGCTCCGGCGTCCGGCAAAAATAGAATCGATTCTATTTTTGCCGGAACAGAGGGCGGCGCACGGCCGCAGCACGGCCGCAGTAGTGGAACAGCTCTGACTGACTACAACGGGACCGATTTTGCTCCGGAGTTCGTGCCGGAGCGGAGCAGAGGTAGGGGAATTTGGGGGTAAGAGAGACAGCAGTATTCCGCCCCACGACTGGGTTGTCTCAGTGCCTCGTGGCCAGACTAATTTACGTATATATGGTGGCTTGCCAGGCTAACTAACTGACATTTTGTCTGTTTGGTTGTGAAAAAATTACATTTACTTGAAAGTAGTGTAAATTTTCAAGTCAAAGTTCAGTCCAAATATGTCTGATGTTGATGCTGTACACAATTTACAGCCACAGCCCAGTGACACAATAATGATCAGCCAAACACGTTGCATCATATTGTTTTTTTTATTTGCGTCCAAAGAAAACATAACATGTACTTTTCGGTTCTTAGCAGATCTGCACTCCTAATAGCAAAATATTTGAATGAAAGCTGCATCTTTGCCTTGTTTTGAGTGAACTGTTCTTGAAAGCCTCTTGTGTATTTTGCTCCAGAGCATCAAAGTTACTCGAGGCGTCAATCAGAGTGTAGGTATTTAAAGAAGTTGGCAGCCGTAGACGGAAAACACAAACAATCAAAAAAAAAAACAAAGTTTGTGGATTTCGTATTTTATTTTTAACTCCGGGTTTCTGTTTTTTCCCCTTTTCTTTATAGTCATTTAAAGTAAGCTGGTGTTGCATTTAGATGCCTATGTAGTATGTGGGATTTGGCTGTGCTGGTGTGGAAATGATGGGGTGGTTGTTGACCTGGAAATGTGGTTCCTTTCATTGTTTGCCTTTACAATAGCCTTATTCCAGTTTTGTAGCCTGTGTTTTATTTATGAAAACTCAACAACACTGTCAGAACTCTGTGAAATGTTCTTCTACTTTTCAATAGCGCTCACACAGTGCTGTTGACTTTTCTATAGGTCTCTACGCAGGTGGAGGCCATTGTAAAGTGCTATGGGTTTAGTGCGACTCATTAGATCGAGTCACTCTGTGATGTACGTCTAAACATTCCTGCCGAGTACAGGAGAGGAATAGCTCCGGCGTGCTATTCCAGTGCCTTTCCCTTTGGTACCCTTTGTTCTTTTCTTTTCTCCTAACACTTGAAAGAAAGTCACATTCACTTTGTTTCATTCTTCTCCTCTCACTTGCAAAAGATTTCAAAGACAGACGGGAGGGGGATCAGGACAAGGAGGGATCAGTTCTACCTGGAGAATGACACAAGGTCAGATGAGGACATGTAGACCGTAAGAAAACGCCCACTTGAGAAAACAGAATATTGGAGGAGGATATAATGTGGCAGCTGGAAGGGCCAATAACTAATCAGGATGAGAGGCAGGAGTGTCGCTTTGATGCAGATGGTGAGAGGAACACAGCTAAGACCTGTTATATCCCACAGAGATGAGCACAATGCAGCCTCGTCAATAGAAAGGGAGACAAGACAGAGGAGGAGAATGGGACTTTTGGGCTTTTTAATGTGACATCTGTGCAGACTAATCTCTCTGATGTGTATCCTCCACTTGGATGAGATACAGTATCCCTCTTTTCTTTTTGTTTTGCCCTTGTTTCCAAACCATTTTAGATGCAGATGGAGTCTCCGGCAACATAACACTGGAGGGAGTTCAGTCTAACTTAGCTCTTTGTGTTTTCTGCTCTGTTTAACTAGGTTAATGTAGAAAATACACTCTAAAAACAAATCCTGTATTGTGATTGGCCAAGAAACCATTTTTTGTCTTTAATAAAAATTTAATATAATGAATAAGCCATTCAAAGACTGAACTCTATCTGTTGTTATGGATGCTATCCATTATTAAGCATTGGTTCCAGTAATAACACCAAATAATACAGGAAGAAGATTTGATGCATGGGACACTCTCTTGGGATTTTTTTTCACTGATGCACATATTTACAAAATATTCCAGGTGCCGTTTCGTCTCAGCCCTTCTTATTTTCCTCTTTTCTCCCTGTTCAGCTACGACACCACGGAGATTTCGTGCAAAAGTCCTAAGCCCAAACAAGGTGGAGGTGTCATGGAAGGAGCCAAAAGGAGATTATGATGGCTACAGAGTCATGTACACCACACGCCCAGGTAAGGGCCAGCATTGGTTCATCAGTACACCATTTTGCAACCATTCATGTATAGGGCTGATTTTGTTACGGGTAAAAAAAAATCCTAATTGTTATTCTTGGTTAATATACTGATTTATTAGAGATGAGATGGGAAACACTAAAGACTCATTGTCACCATTGGAACTTCCAGGTACTTTTACCAGACTTTTGTGGCCATGCTTGTTTCAGCAATTCACCAGGCCAGCCTGAAAGGACCATTTTCTGACCAACTGAGTACTTAAAGTGTACTTTCAAGTATCACATTTTAGGGATATTGGAGATATTGATTCATGCTAATGCTTTGAAACATAACCATTTGAAAAAGCATTGTTGCACACCCTTTGTCCGAAGCATGTCCTAAACTGCAGTGCATTTTGCCCTCATTCTGTCATCTTGTACTGACGAGGAACACCTGAGTTAAGATTTTTCTTCCTCCTAAGACATCCTGGTTTGAACTTCATCCATTTTTTTTTTGCAAATATGACTGTGCATACTTGAAAACGGATCTCTTGTTCAGTCCTGCCTGATGATCACAAAGTTAACCCTGTTTCACACCCAGTAGCAGAGCAATGATTCCTTTGTGACAGCTTGGTTATCGAATGCCTCGCTTAAGGGGTCCTGAGTAGTAATTGCTGCACCACTCTTTTTAATGTGTTTAATGTAGATAATACACATGTTTTAGGTACTGAAAATCATTAAGTTTATTACATGATGGTTAACTTTGGTGGTTAAAAAACATGCAGTTGTGTCCAGAAGAGCAACAGATTGTGGCTATTTACTCAGAGGCAGAACAATCATATATTTTTATGTGCTTTCAGATATTCTGCAGAACAAAATGACACATAACTAGGTTTAATATCACGAGGATTATGAGTCATCCGGTTTCTGCAGAAGGAAGACTTGAGTAATATCAAATTATGTTTGAATACCAACTTTTATAAAAGCACAAAACTTTTTGACTATTTTCCAATTCCGTCAGCCTTGCACGGCCCAAACTCGTGGGGTTAATGACTCACGGCAAGACATCTGTTCTAAAACTTCCGGTAATTAATTATTATTTACCGCCAAGTGAAAATTAGTCTACTGTTAGAATCAGAATTTTTTTCCTGATGTGTTTTTCGACGTAGCGTGCAGCTATTTGTTCTAAATGCTTTTTTGACTGATGCCTCTGGATTGTGTTTTCTTCACCTCTCACTGCTAGTGTCAAGTCCTCCGTCTGATACCAGAGTAAGGTGTGGAGATGAGTTAAGCTTGCAGTGATGCGTCGTGTCTCTGCTTTGTACATCACATGACTCAAATACCAACTAGTTTCTAGGATTTCCTGTGCAGCAGGAACACATACTGTTGGGTTTCTAAACTGGTTTTAAATGGTTCTAGCTGAGCGTAGTTGTCTGCCAGCAATGCACCGATTGTGCCAAACCTCACAGTACAAATCACACTATAGATAATTTTTTAATTTTTCATTCTGAATAATGAAATTAGTAAACTATGAAAGAAGGATTATCTAAAAAATTACAGAAATAATTGAGATTGGCTTGTTGTGTTTATTGATCTGAACATTAATTAAATTATAAGTAATTTCTACTTAAAGAGCAAGTCTCCCTAAAATCAAATTTTTGCTGATAAACTGTAAAAATTAGTTTCTAATGGTGCTGTAGATATTTATAGTCATTATTTTGGCCTTTTATTGAATGATGATTAAAATACAATTTTTCAGTCTAAAGCCTGGTTTATGCTTCTCCGTCAGCTCCGCAAGGGACAGACACGCACGGATTGACGGAAGCGTTTTGCTCTCATACTTCTCCGTCTCCTGGAGAGTGTTGCAAAGCAATTCCCCGGCAGGACAACAGAGGGCGTAGCGCTGTTCTGTGGTATCCTGTCATGTATCGGTCCAAGATAGTGTGTTTATATTGTGTTTTTGGGTATATAAGAGACTTTTAACACGGACATATTTGTCTCTCATTCTCCCACCGCTTCATGCGCTCCCCATCTCTAAACCCACGTTTCCTGTCATTTCCGTCCACAAATAAAACGCTTGCTGCGCATCTTTTCACTCCTCCAGTCACGGGAGAATTAAACGTTCATGTTTTAGAGTTTTTTCGCGAGGTATTCTTCAAGCTTCTCCATGTCTGCCGCTAGTTATCCTCGGCTCTCTTTGCAATGGCGGCGCTGTAAACAACAGCGGCGTCCTGACCAATCACAAGCTTGCGTAATCCGTCTCGTTTGACGGATGTTTAAAAAAGTGGGCTCGACTCCGTACGTACTTGCGTGCCCTACGCAAGGACGGATAATGGCGTTGCGTGTCTCCGCACTGACGCAGACGGAGAAGCATAAATCAGGCTTTAGTTGGTCAGTGTAGCGCCCTCTTCAGGTTTAAAGTCTACACTACATTTAAATGTAATTAGCCATCGCTAGTGGCTTAAACGGTACACTGTGACATAGACGGTACAGTCTGCTGCAAAGCTGGTGTGGGATATAGAAGCAGCCGGATCTCTGCAACGCCTCCAGCGGCTTCTCCCTGCCAAGTGGGGTGTGTGTGTGTGTGTGTGTGTGTGTGTGTGTGTGTCACTGCTGCAGCGCTGCCCTCTCAGTCTGCCAGGCAACGCCTCCTTTTCGCTCATTTGTCAATCAGCAATTGTGGGTGGAGTTAGACTCTGGTAGGGGATGACTTGCTCTTAAATAAAAGTTATGAACCGAATCGGGGACAAAGCAGCCTTGCGTAGTCCAACTGTCACTTGGAACGAGCCCGACTTTTATTGCCGTTCTGTATCTGATATAATAAAAGTTAGTTAACCTTTAAGCATTTTTCTGCTTTATAAACCACATCCATTGCTGTTTATCTACATTTTTGTCTTATTTCAAGACACATGCTTAGTGGGTTTCACCAGCTTTTCTTATTTACTTCCCTGCTGGAGATAATCCACTGTAGCCCTGAAGTTTTAGAGTACATGTCATCCTCTCTTATTGGTCCTGCTGTCAGCCACTGGCAGAGTAAACCTGTATCTCCTGGTGCTGCTTGGCTCGTCTGCTTGATCACTGCAATAAAAACAGAAAAAAATATTGGTTAAGGTGCAGTAGGCACAGGCAACATTCCCCCAAGACCACGCGCAAGAGTTGACTGGATGGAGGGGGGGATGGAGAAGGAGAAAAGGGAGATACCTGAAAAGAGAATGAAGGATGGAGCTGCAGAAGCATGAAGAAATGAGAAGATTTAGATAAATGAAGAGACGTTTAGATCAGGCAAAGAAGATGAATGTGCTGTCGTTTTTTTGCTTAGTTATATTGATGTAGGTTTTAGAAATAATGCTTTGTTTTTTTTATCTTTTGGTTGGCAAATTGATGAGTTGCATGTTTGGTTTGGCATAATTTGACAAATTGTTGGTGCCCTTCCAGCTCTTAAAAGGAAAAATTCAGAATAAGCTGTGAAAAAATTTGAAACGAGCAAAACAAAAATTTGAACTAAACTAAATTATATACTGAAATTCAACTCAAGTAAGTCAGATGCCACTTTTTAATTGTTCTGCAGAATTCTTTTTAAACACAAACTAATGCTGTAGACATAAACAAAAACATAAACAAGGGTGTTTTTCAAATATTTATCAGCTAAACCTTTTGACTACCAAAAGGATTCTACAGCCCTAATGACCCCTCTGCACCTGTCGACAGGTATTATGGTCTACTCCTTATGAACTGTCTCGGGTTTAAAGAGTCCTCTCCTGACTGTGAGTTTCAGCTCCTTCCACAGTTGTTCAACAGGATGTAAATCCCGGCTTTTAGAGGGCCAGAGTGTTTTGTTCTGTTTTTAGCCGTGTTTTGGTCAGAACCCGATTAGAGGACATTTCATTCCAGCATGCATCACATGAGGTTGAATTGTGTCCTGCACAGATTTAACACACCCTAGCAAAACGGCCCCAACACAAAATGAAACCTAAATGTTTCACAGGCCTTTTCTTAGAAAAACCTCATGTTTTCCATCTGTAAACAGAGTTTATGTGAGTTGCCAAAAAGCTCCACTTTCTCTAAGGGTCACATTCTCCCAGAAGCTTGGTGGTTTGTTGCATTTTGGCGAATTCTAGTGTGCTTTTTTACGATTTTCTGTCAAAAGTGATGTCTTCCTTAATGGTCCTCTTTATAGTCCACTTTGGCCCAAACGACAGCTGATTTACCCTGACCTTGGATTTGACCTCTAATCTGTTTGGAGGTTGTTCAAGGCTCACTGGTTATATTTGTCATCGAATTTCCCATATGTGTCCATGGTGGTTGGCTACAGTCCAGTGGACCTTGCTTTGACCCTTTCCATTATTGGACCTTTTGGGTAATTTTGTGGCATTAGGCTAGCCTGAAATGACCACTTTCCGGGCCATTTCAGGGACCAAAAGAGTTCCTGTATAGGGTTTTGTACTTGTACTTATGCTGACTGGTTATTCCGGCAGATATCCCCAAACAATCGGCATTTGTAAAATGGAAAGAGTCGCTGATGGAATGGAAGGAAAAAAAAACCAACATTGACACTGATTTAACACCTAAAGTTGAAAATGCAGAGAGGAACACCCCCCAAACCCGTACCCTAACCCAGTGGTTCCCAAACTTATTTAGCCGCGCACCCCCTTCTATGTCCCGACCATGTCGACGCCCCCCCCCCCCCCCCACATCGGGGCATGGCTCTCTCTCTCTCTCTCTGTATATATATATATATATCAGATGTCAAGCTAAACAGACAGGGTTAAAAAAATTCCCCATCACTTTCATTTTCTAAATAGTAATTAATAAGCATTCAATACCATTACAATTTCCTTTGATTTCACTCTGAATAAATATTTAGAGTGCCCAGGTAGCACATAAAGAATGCAATTTAACGGTTTTCTTAAAGTAGGAACGTTTAACCTGTGCGGCCAGAGCGCTCTCCTTCCTTCTGCTCTGCGTAAACCTGAACTGATCACCTACTTGTGCGTAATCAAATGTCTATAGGGGACAAGCTAT